TTTCCCAATTTATATACAGACCTTTTTAAATAGCTTAGAAAACAAATAATTTAGTATATCAAAGTGTTTTTGTACGGTTATTGGTAACAGGACAAATTCAAAAATTGTAAATTTAAAATTCCCTTGTTATTCATATAAAGAATATTGTAAAATGTTGTAGTTTGCTTGTTTATGGATATATTTTGATCAAACTTGGCAAATTTATTCAAACAATTACAAAACTATTTGGATCATGAACGGTACTCTAGTTTTCCCAAGGTAGGACACGTGAATTGGAATTTTTGCGTTACAGGCACAATGACAGTAAGAATCAAACAAACGTACAGATATATACACAAGACTCGTTTCGGCTATCTTATTATATACAACGTAGAAATAACCAAACACTTCATGAGTCTACGCAATGTACAGACAAAACAGTAAAGACTTTATAATCTTATAATTAACTATAGTGTTTCTGCCCATGCTTCGCAACTGGGTGAGAGTCTTTGGGTCTCTAATTCCACCGTAAAAAAATAGTATATTTCGTACCTAGGGCCTACAGTGAGGTTTTGCCGACTCGATATCGGGTTTTAAGTTCGGGACGAAGTAGAGAACGTGAAACGATCGAGAGCTGCAAACCCATTTTGGCTCGTGGTACGAGCGGTTTTTTTTACCCAAGTATGTTTTGCAATATAACGTCCCTCTTATTTATGTGAAATATTTTGAGGAATCAGCAAAATCAAAAATAACAATAAATAGTTGTCTAGGCAGCTGTGACAAAAAACAAGTCTATTGCAATGCCATGGATACAGCTTGTGCATTTAATATACATTAATGTTTTAAGTAAATAGGCGAACAAGTGATTTTGCGGCCCTAGGGATGTAAACCCCTGCTCGGTCCCCATATGACGATGACAGCTGGCATGGCCAGCAAAACGTAACTTTCAGCCACCAATATAAACCAGCTAAATGTATGTAAAACAGCTAAAAACATCATAGTGAGGTGAAAAATTCGTTACGCATACTTTTACATTACCATGAATTAATTATATGCATACAGAAAAAACGGAGTCATACTTATTGCGTATTTTAATGTAAACTAGTGGCTTGTAGGGACATAGTCCCTAAAAAGCTACGGAAAAGGAATTATTGTTGGAATATTTAAACAAACTCAGAATCAAATTATCTATATGTCAGGATAGGCCTAGATATCCCACTACAACATATCTTTTGTGCAAGAAAAACAAAACAGTTTGTTGTTTGTCTTTGTTTGCTTTTGTTGATAACGTTATGTTCAATAAAGAATTTGAATGATTCCTGAGTTTAACTGCTAAAGGCAGCAAACATGTTTATGAATAAATATTGGTTTATTAAGGTAGCTTTGGTTTTTTGGTTAATGCTGATAACAAGGCTTCCCCGATTGAAATACAGTATTGGAAATTGTCTTCGTCAAATAAGAAAAGGAAAAAAATGGTGTGTTGAGATACCCTACCCAGTTATTATTTCTAAGTCTATGCTCATTTTGTAAAGGTTTAACAAAATTATTCTTAAGTAAAGGCATCCCATTGACAGAACTTGGACCTAAATTTGTTTGTGATCAACATTAAAAAAACACTATTAGCCTAGTGTAAGTATGTGGTGTTAATCCTCCTAAAGGTGCGATTGATTTACATATTCTACCAAAAAAGGGCCTAGTCAACGTCTAATTACCAACTATTTTGCGGCTAGTTAGGGTTCCATTACCCAGTTATCAAAACTAATCACGACATAAATATTTTTGGTTCGTTTAAATACCTGTACGAACCTACTTCATCTCTATTCCCAAATTGTTTTCTAAGAGTAACCGTTGAGGTTATTCCACTTCATACAAAATATTGATTAAACACTACAATAAATCTCAAATATAAATGTTAGTAAATTAAAAAAAAATTTGAATAAATCTTTTACATATGTTTTGAAATAAAAACAAAGAAGATCTTCTTTTAATCTTGAATCGTTTCTTAAATCTTGAAAACAATTTATTTCAACTTTGACATAACTAAAAAGTCTTGATTATTAAAGGTAACGTTATCCCTTTATAGTTGGTTTTATATAGTATACATTACATTGCAGAATTGACTGGCAAATTAGTAATCCAAATGTAAGCTTACTTGCTAATGATAAAATCACGATCAGCTGGATTGAAGTAAACAAAAATCAGCAGTAAATGCCTTCTAATGCTATTCTTATGGAGAACATTGTACGTTATATCTAATTTTGTGTTAAGATTTTGGGAATTTCACTATTTTTCCCGCCGTCACGGGATAAAGACCTTTAATTTGAGCCCTCTCACGTCGTTCTACGACTTCCCAGTCGCCCACAATTTTGAGGCAAAGAATCGGCTTACGTAATTAATATATAGATTCCTATGTAACTGATAATTTACCCAGCACATTAAGGCCTTTATTCCAAGTATCTCAGTTCGTAAACCATACATACAATGTGACGATAAAATATCAAAAAAATAGCATGTAGTTTTATGTAATCCTCACGACATTTCATTTGGTCCATTGACTTTAAATCCAATAATTGTAAAAATTATTGGAGCTTTGAAAAAAACTTCATATAAAATCCTTACACCAATAAAAGACGACGTCATGAGCGCGGGAAATGAGCTACAGCGGCTAGAGCATAGCCACATGAATACAGAACGGAATGAAGGAACTAGAACGGAGAACTGCAACAGCGCACGCGAGAAGTAGGGGGGGCGCACACACCGCTCAAGCACTACAACGCATTAGTGGCATCCTGTCCACACACTGTTGATATATACCGATTTGTGGCATGGTGCCACAATTTAAAAACTGGAATGTTAGATGTTAAAATGGAGTGTTCATTAAAAATATCGATGCAGACATGTTTCTACCACCTTCCTTCATCCACTGGTGGCCGCAGGTTGAAAGATGCCACAATTAGGTGTTTGCGAGTATTCGGTAAAACCCCGTAGGTGTGTGTGTGTGTGTGTGTGTGTTTGTGTGTCCGTTAGCACGATAACTTGAGTAATTTTTGTCCGATTTTAATGTAATTTGGCTTGAAGGTGTAGGGCGGGATAAACTTGAATGAGTTCGTGGACCAGCATGATCGGACTATATATATCAGCCTCAAAAAAATGTTTTCTCATTTTTGACCCTCAAAACATAAAATTTCCCAATTTTTAAAAGTTAAAATTTAGTTATTTTAGTTTAAATTTAGACCTTTTTAAAGACCTTAAAAAACAAATAATGAAGTATATTGAAGTGCTTTTGTACGGTTATTGGTTACGGAGAAAATTCAATAAATTGTAAATTTAAAATTTCAATCTTATTCTTATGGAGAATAGGTTAACTGTCATAGCTTGCTTGTTTATGGATATATTTTGATCAAACTTGGCAAATTTTTTATTATATACTAAGATATTCATATTTTACTAAAAACGCACTTTACTACCCTCCCTGTAGCAGCAAACCTAGGTACATATTTAATTATATGTAATCTAATGTAATCTAATGTTACTTAAATTGATTTATTCGAAAATCCAATCAGGTAAAAGGAAATTCGCTTAGTCTGCAGGTTTGCTGCGGCAGGGGTATTTATGTTTAGAACTGCATGTTTTGATTTAATACTCTCTGGTGTGAGGATGTAAGATTTTGGAGTTAGGGGCTTATACCTGTAAACACGCAGCGGCCAATATTTAGTATGGCCATACTATATATCCATCCACTGCCTTGGGCTTGGTATTTGTGCATCGACTTGTCAATTTTTAGAAGATAATTTTCAATTTGATATTTAAAATCTCTTATCTCAATGGTTAGGATTGGCTTCTAAAATCTGCAATAAATTCTTTTTCATTAATTAATTTTACATTTTGATCAATTGTATATTTTATAAATTTTATTCATTTAACTTAAGTCCATTTTATTAGCAGAGGACAAGACTGAAGAGTATTTTTAAGTTCAGCTTTAATCGATTCACCAACAAATTAAATCATTGTATATCGACAATTGTTGCAAGAATTGATGTGTGTTGTAAAATACCCATAAGCATTTATTTTACAGAAATGACAAGTCTTGTGAGTTTGTAAGATATGAGATTTAAGAGCAATGTTACTATCACAGATTAAATCACTCAGTTTACACATTTTAACCTTCATTTGATGTATTAATGTGTAGTGTCGAATCAAGTTACTTTTATTGGAGAACAAAACGGATCAGTGTTGAGATGTCGGATCATTTTTACGAATGAGGTCTTGTGTTGGTGTCACCTCTATATAGACTTGCAAACTTTTTGGGAAATCCAAATAAATGTAAATAGAAATTTAGAAATTTTCAAACAAAAATCACGTATTTTTCGAAAAAAAAAATAACAGATAAAAATCGTAAAATGATATTTGGGAGGGGGAAGGTAGCCCCCTCTCATTTCAAGTTGACAGATCTCGAACATGAGCTACCACTGGAGACGAGAATCATGCCCGCGGCAATGCCGATATGGGTCAGGGCTTGCCCGAGTTCTCGTGCAAATCTCACGTGATTTTGAAAATATATATATGGGACTGGATGTGGATTAGAAAAGTATATGAGTTTGGACAGTAGTATGGGACATTTGTGTAGGGATATATGGGCAGGATTTTTTTAGTGGCTAAAAATTACCCACCATCTTACTCTTATGGGAAAAACGCCCCAAAGTGACGTCTCTTTCCTAGATTCTACCTACTTTACATAAACACCTGCATGGGTCAATAAATTAATGCTTTAGCTTTTTTGCTTGATTTTGAAAATATATAGGGGATGGGCGAGGATTGGAAATATTTAAAGGGTTTGACATTTATATAGGGATATGTAGGCAAAGATCAGCAAGTGGCTAAAAAATGATCCAAGCTTATTCTTATGGGGAAAAACGCCCCAAGTGCCGTCTCTTTCTCCTATTCTACCTACTGGTTTTAATTTAAAATGGTCTACTAATAGACTAATTTATAAGTGTCAATAAACTGAACAAGAACCTCACGTTTGAGAGGCGAGAGTGTTTTGTCGCCTGATGCAGATGCGATGCTGAGAAGCCTCGGACACAAACTGGGACAGCTGTTGCTCTGATGATGCTAACACCCAGTCCACCTCTGTCATTTCTAGCTCCACCAGCACCTAAACAGCAAAACATAAAGTGTCAACAAGTAATAAATTGGGAATATGAATCAATTTTAAAACACTTGAACCTTCTATCATACCAGAAAAAATAGATTAATGATCAGTTGAAAAGACTGTTGGGGATGAGCTATAGTTGTCCAAAAGTTTACTGTTGCCTGTTGGGATATTCCGTTTTACATCAATGACCCTATTCTAAGGTTACCTGGGCAAACATTCACTTTTATTTATCTGTTCTTGGGTCTGGGTGGTGATATAGACAATTATTGGACACTTCAATACTGATTTGAACACCCAGGACCTGCAGTTTCTCCCAATGAACATGATTTTGGTTTCCGTGATTGATTCTGTGATTGACTTCCCTCTCAATGGTCCTTATTCAATATGACTCAATGTACTATTTCAATGTTCCTTATTTGTAATTGTGTATGTGTGTTTATGTAAAAGCAATGCCCAACCCCCCCCCCCCCCACAGATTGATGTACCTAAACAACCAAATATCCAGTAACCAGTTATCACCAGACTGAGTAAAGTGTGTAACTTTGTGATAGTTGGAAACTGGACCCAGCTGTCCTTGATGATCATTGGTCCTGCCTAATGAAATAGCTGGTCTTAGTCAGTAACAAAGGCACACAGATAATCTCACTCCATTCTACACTCATTCTTTACTCATGTTTGGGTTTAAATACGCACTTAGGTGGCATCCCCATCTCAATTGATATGACATTGGTTTCAGAAAATAAAAACGTTTGGTCCTTCCTTATTAACTAGAGATCAGCTAATGACACGGTCTTGAGAAAAAATATTCTTTCAAGGTCTCAACCTTGTCCTTTCTTTTTGTGTCATTTAAACTCCATTTTTTAAAGAGACTAATAAACGTATATCTAGGACACAGAAAAATTACTTCCAGCCAAGGATTGTCCCTCACAAGGGTTGATGCTTGCTCCAATATGAAATGAAATGAAATGAAATGAAATGAAATTTTCCTTTAAGCATTGTACAAAATGCAATCGGCATCGTAAAAAAAATACAATTGTCAATATATACAATCATTATGCAAAACTTAACCTAAGAAAACCAAGCAAACACAGCACGCAAAATAGGCTTATACTCACATTTGCTCGAATGTCAGGTAGCTCAAGAATCTGACTCTTTGAAAAGAAAAAGTACAGAAAAAATACAGTTTGCATCTTAACAAAGCACACCATGCAGACATATATCTGTATGGGAGGCCAAGGCAAGGAGTTTCCTTGGATAACACAGTATCGCAGTAGGATTAAATGCTTTAAGTACCATACGAGCTATACATCTTTAATTTTAACTAAATAAGACATCCAGTATCCTTACCTTCACCCCCAGCTGTGAGAGCAGAGCAACATTCCAGGAGTCTGCCAAAGTTGTTACTGGAGTGTTCAGTGGTTCCAGCAGAGGAATGAGAGTTTTAGCAATGTCTTGTACTGTTAAACATCCTGTAGAAAAACACATGTATAGTCAATTCAGGAACCAAAACATCCCAAGAGCTAGCTTATCCTTTAAATTTCCCACCATCCTCCTCATCACCCCTTATATAACTATTTAAACTATAGTAGAGGTCGTCCAGTGGTCTGGGTGGTGGTTTGGAAACCCCCTAATATGGCACTAATTATTTTTTAAAATTTTATATCCATTTTTGTGATTATTTTTTAGCTCATTAGCGAATTTCCCTATAGGAAAGTAGCTATTCCCGTAGGTGGCAAGGTGAGATCTGGAGCCGGGAACGATTTACTTTTTTATTTTGATGCTCTGAAAGGGCCCAAAATACTATTTGTTCAAATTGTTATATATGTGTACTAGCTGAACCTGGCAGACGTTGTCAAGCCTTTGACTATTAAATAATTTTCTCAGCATTAAACTGATGATTTTTATTTATTTATTTAGAACCAATAAATGTTAAAGAAAATTGTACGAAGTAATAAAACACATGTTGAACATAGGATAACTACTTTTTTAAATCAGCTCAACTTAAGTGGATAAACAACATTTTTCGTCTTCTTGTTTGGTGTGTATATATGTAGGTTTGCTGGCGACCCCACTCTCGAACAACCGACGTAAAGTGGAACAACTATGTGAAAAACATGGATTTGATAAGTTTAGCCCTGCAACACGCAGTGACTGCCCTTGGGCTTTATTTACCGTAATTGCATAAGTCAAACGCACTGGAAATTTAAGCCTTTTGAAGCTGAACGGCATGTCAGAGGGAAACATCGGAATCCGTGGTATCAACAAATCCTCTCCTTTGCATTTACCACATAATATACTTTCTTCGATTCGATTCGGCATTAATTTTTTTTTACAGAGAGTCTGGTCCCTTTGTATAATTTTGGAATGTTCAAATTTCGAAGGAGCAATATTAGCGAACCAACTTTCAAAGACAATACGTGTGGTGGCATTCCAGAAGGCTCTAATGAATTGAGAAATCCTACAGGAACAGCTTGATCTTCTTCAAAATTTGTGTCAATTGATTTATAATCTGTTATAACACCATGAATTTTCAATTGAAGCTTCAAATTATTTACAATTTTATTTACATCGTCATTCTTTGGAGCTGGGATATCTCTCTCGCTGAGCCAATCACGATTTTTGAAGTTTGTGGCTATGTCTGGAAAAACATTTTTTTTCAAGATCCTCTATTGATTTCTGAAGTTGGCAAACATTTGGGGGGAAAGTTACTTCTTGTGTCAATGCATATACTTGAAATTTCCCGTTACCTAGATATAAAAGCTGTTTAGCAAAATCATCCCGCCGAATCAACTTTAAGCAAGTGAAGGCGCATATCGGCCAAGAGTGTTATTTTCTTCACATACCTCCATAAGACAGATCTTGTGTTTCGGCCTCCCTCGACGCGGTAGCTCGCGCTCGCAAGTTTTCCATACGTGACTCTCGTTCTTCTTGTGCTTCTGCTTCTCTTGAGGTGGAAGCTCGCGCTCGCTGTACTTCTAACCGTGCCACTCTTTCTGCTGGTGTTTCGACAGCCCTAGTGGTGGAAACTCGCCATGCATTTCTGATGGCTCTCCCAATATTATCTTTTTTGGTGGCATGTCATTTAATCCATTCAGTAAAGGAAAATCACTACTGAGTTTTGAAAGAAAACACTTTGTATTTTAAACTATTTACGATATGTTTGAAAATGTCTTTCATAAAAATGTGCAATTGATTTCCACAGCTGTTCCCTTTTGTGTTTACAATATCCTCCTTCCATAAGCTAGATTTTGCACATCTACAGGAAAATATCTTTCAACAGTATGCGTATATTTTCCCTGCGATGCACACGAGCTGAGAAAAAGGTTTTAAACAAACATGTTTGCCTATTAATATATAGATACAGATCTTGTGAATTTAATAGTATAATATCGATATATTTGTGAGACGTTTTTCTAGGGTAAATATTTCCAACTTTCTTAATGTTTTAAAATCAGAGGATTGGTCTTACTTCTTTCTGCATGTATATTTAACATGAGATGTAAATATTCTTCATAAGAGTTTTCTACATATTTCCAAACTACATTTTGATGCTTGTTTTCGATTAGTTAAGTCTAGAGATAGTGTAAGTCAGAATAGAGATAAAGGTTGGTTAACAAGTGGGATAAAAAAATCTAGTTAACGCAAACGAGAACTGTATGATCTTAGGAAACACTCTTCAAGTACTCCTTTCAAGAGCGTTTGACTGTGTAAACTACGATATCTTGATCCGTAAGTTGCAGCACTATGATATATCGGGCAGGACTATTAAATTGTTGGTTTCATTTCTATCTAATAGAAAACAGTGTTTAAGGCTGCAGTCATTGGTGCTTAAGTCTTATTGTGGATTCATAACAAAGGGTGTTCCTCAAGGGTCTATTCTTGGGCCCTTGCTCTTTTTGAATTATGTAAATGACTTGCCTATTGCCTTAGATTCAAAATTAGTAATTTTTGCTGACGACACTTCTGCCATATTTACCCATCCTGAAAAATCAAGGTTTCCACAACTGATCAAACAAGAATTCTATAAGCTAGAAAGTTGGTTTCAAGCTAATGTGCTATTATTGAATCAGTCTAAGTCAATTTTAATCAACCTTAAAAAATACCTCAATAAAGATTTTCTATGTGACAATGCAGGTTTTCCGAATGTACACATTTTTTTGGAATAACTTTAGACAGTAAATTAACCTGGAAAACTCACATTGCAGAAGTTATAAAAAGTTGAACAAATCATATTTTTCAATTCTTATTCTATCCAGATCAGTAGATGAGATGTCTCTTACTCTTTTGATGGTGTACTATGGATATGTATATCCTGTTCTTAACTACATATATAATTATTTTTTGGGGCAGTTCTGACCAAAAGGAAAAAGGTAATTAAATTGAAAAACGAATCATTGGAATAATTATTTATTCTCTCAAAGCTAGAGATTCATGTGAAGATTTAAAATTAATAAACTTCTTACTTTTCTTAGCCTGCACATCTATAGTTTACTAATATTTATGAAACAAAATATCTCTAAATTTTCTGTTAGTTCAGACAACCACAATTATGACACCAGACACAAAGACTGCCTTACTATTCCAAACAAAAATTTTCTACTTTTGAATTTTCTCCCCACTACTCTGGTATTAATAATAACCTGCCTGATTCTATTAAGTCTGCACCTTCCCTCAGGTCATTAAAAATAAATAGCCTAATCCAGGACCACTTTTATAAATGAGCCCATGGGAGCAAGGGTTTGGGTTTGTTGATGGCGCAATGAAGAGAAACATTCCTCCACAAGGAAGGTAGAGAGTAGCGCAACTATTCTTCCGGCCCATAGTGCATCACATGCAAACCGCTTGCCTAAACTATAATAATGTCTTGGCATTATTATAGTTCAAGTAGTAAGATTATACCAAATCTTGGCGGACCTTATGTTTTTTGTTGTAAGGTTTTTTTATTACTCGCTCATTTCATCGGCCAATCTGTGCTTCATGTATTAGAATGGAAGCGCGCACACATGCGATTGAAAATTGCGCCGATTTTAAAATCTGCAAAATGCTGTAGATTCGTGGGCGAGGCGATTGTCGGCCGGCAATCTGTAACGTACAGGTGCGCACACGGTCGACTAAAAAATCGGCCAGTCGCCGATATTCTATTGTATTTAAATAACTATAAGATCTTTTACAACCATTAAAACATGTTTACTCAAACATTTGTCAATTTTATTTCCGAGTTTGCCCCTATTCAATCAAAACTGGATTAGCATATATTATTAACAGAATTTTTGTTGTAAAAAGATTGTAAAAAAATCCGTTGTCCAACTAATAGCAACAGTTTATCAAAACTTTCAACAGACATTCTATAGTACTAGAGAACCCGTGCGACCTTTTTTTACTTGAAATTACTGGATTGTGTTGGTGAATTCAGTCAAAAAACTTTGTATAAGTTTGTCCGAGGAACTGGAATCATAACCTAGAAGTAAACAATCCACTTGCGTTTTTTCTCAATTGAAGTAGAGCGAGTAATACAAAATCTTACAATAAAAGCATAAGGTCCGCCAAGATTTGGTATAATCTTACTACTTGAACTATAATAATGCCAAGACATTATTATAGTAATACTAAATGTTTTGAAATATCTCTATCTCGATCTGTCAGAGTGTCAGAAGTAAACATTTTTTTGAATGCATTCATTTGATCTGACATTAGGCAAGTTTACTTTACCACAGTGACAACACTATGTACTTCGTTTATTTTTTCACTTCCAAAGTAAGTTGCATAGCAGACATGGCAAATATTATTCATCTCACTAATAAGTGAATGTGTATCTGGATGGGTATCTGTTAGACCAGGCCTCTCTTTTTCTACTCTCCTCATACACATAAGATATCTTATTAGGCCTATTAATTGTCTTCTCCCGTTTTTAAAATAATAAACGCTTCTTGTAAAAATAAAATATTTTATCATTTTTAGACGCCAGCCTTATTTTTTGTGTTTTCTAAAAATGTTTCCCGACTTAAAGCTGTTACCAGTAAACATTTCTTGCATGTATTTATTTGATCTGACATTAGGTATGTTTACTTAACCACTGTGAAAACATGATGTGTATATTCCTCATGGTTTTTTTACTTCCAAAATAAGTTGCATAGCTAACTGGCAGACATTATTCATCTCCCCAAGTGATTGTGTACCTGGATTCCTTACCGTAAGACCAGGCCTCTCTTCTACTCTTCTCATAGTATAAGATTTCCTATTAATTTTCTCATTCCTCCTGTTTTCAATATTTCTCCTTTATACTCAAGACATTTTCTGTTCTTCCAACAAAACTGATTAACTGTTTGGATTTGTATATAACCATTGACTATTGGATAGGCCTACTGTATCAATATTGGATGTTATATCAATAGTCAAAGGTATAACCTCCTATACAGGGTGAGTTTTAATTGTCCCCCCCCAACTTTTTTCTACATTTTTTCAAATATCAATCCCAGACCACTTCCAAACATTGTTGGGTAGTAAGTACTTCATTTTGACAAGGTGGTCATTTCCAGCCCCCATCTTGGATCCGCCATATTGGATGCACATTTTTTTTTTCAAATGTAAAGGTGGGGTTGTGACCCATTATTCCGAACTACATTTTTACCCTGATTACAATGCCGCAAACCGTTAAAAAAAATCTTTATTCATTATAAAGTTATGAGGGCTTTTTAAAACTTTATTTTTAGCCCATTTTAACATTGTGCATGTACAAACAAAGACCGTAATCTCAAAATAGTGCTAGATAAAGATAAGTATACACTACCAGTAATTGTCGACCTGTTTTCACTTGGTTATGACTGATGTATTTTTTTCGGCCGCCATCTTGGATCCGCCATTTTGAAATGTGATAAATTATTTTAAATATGAAGGGGGTGTTGTGACCCATCATTTCGAACTACTTTTTTAAGCAGAACTTAATTCCATGATCTGTTTTTCATTTTCATTTTTTTATTTTGAAATATTGTCATTTTTAACAACAAAATTGCAATATTTCATAAATAAAACTTGATAACAAAAAATAGATTGCGGCATTGAGTTTAGCTTAAAAAAGTAGTTCAAAATGATAGGTCACAACACCCTCTTCATATTTAAAATAATTTATCACATTTCAAAATGGTGGATCCAAGATGGCGGCCGAAAAAAATACATCAGTCATAACCAAGTGAAAATAGGTCGACAATTACTGGTAGTGTATACTTATCTTTATCTAGCACTATTTTGAGATTACGGTCTTTGTTTGTACATGCACAATGTTAAAATGGGCTAAAAATAAAGTTTTAAAAAGCCCTCATAACTTTATAATGAATAAAGATTTTTAAAAACGGTTTGCGGCATTGTAATCAAGGTAAAAATGTAGTTCGAAATAATGGGTCACAACCCCACCTTTACATTTGAAAAAAAAATTTGCATCCAATATGGCGGATCCAAGATGGCGGCCGGAAATGACCACCTTGTCAAAATGAAGTACTTACTACCCAACAATGTTTGGAAGTGGTCTGGGATTGATATTTGAAAAAATGTAGAAAAAAGTTAGGGGGGGGACAATTAAAACTCACCCTGTATATGAAAAACATCAATATTTACTCCCAAAAAGCTGGTGAGTTATTTTTATATACAGCTGTTTTTTGTTTTTAAATTTGTTCAATGTAATTCTTATGGGGAAAATGTGACCTTAGAGAGCGTCTCGTGCCCTTAAGGGTAAGAGTTTTTAAATTCTAAAACCTTAATGCAAAACTACGAATTGAGACGAATTATTTGACACCTCAAACGTTAAAATCGGTCGAAAAATAACGGAGGATTTTGTTCACAAAAACAGCCATCACGTATTTAATATAAGAGATATAGAAGATTTAAAGAACTTTTTACTGTCATCACGTAAGCAGCACAAAACACAAACAGCTACAGTTTACAAACCTGACCATTTAAAAGTCTCTTACTTACTATCGGATGAACCCAATGTTTACGTTGTCTTCTTTTTTTCTTTGATCTAATTAGAAGACCACAAACACAGATTAATTCAAGTCCATTAAGCTTAACACACTCTAAAAAATCCATTTCTCGACTAAAGAATCGCCACGTGTGCGCCTAGACATAAATCAAGGGCGATTTATTTTTGGCTGATTTTTAAATCGGCCGATCAGGCTTTACGAACCTATTAAAACTACATACTGGTTATTAATATTTTACGCAATTAAGAATCATCCACTAACAACTCTCCCCCAATATTTATATCTTCCAATACTTCTGCTAATAAGCCACCACACAACCAGGGGGGGCTGGAGAGTAATGCTATACATCACAAAAGCATACACACTTTACACTTTTACTTTCTCTTAGAGAATGAGTTGAACACTTGGCGTTACCATTAACATTAACTTAGTATTTTCTTTTAGAACAAAAATCAGGTAATAATTTTTTTAATGTTTACCAATAGTATAATTTTCTATTACAAAGTAAAAATTACCACATACCTAAGGATATAGCTTTCAGACAGTCAGCTTGTACCAGTGCATTTATGACAGCTTTGTAAGCAATATCAGTTGAAGAACACGTGTCATAAACCGAGAGACCTGTTAGGATTGTTAAATGTTAACTAACATGTGGTAAATTAACATTTTTATTCAAATTAGCATAATAAAATTAATATCTAAATGAGACAACTATAACCCAAATACATTCTCTTGACAGTTAATGAATCAATATTTCTCAAGAAATTAAATAATCATCTCAGTAATTATAATTATGAGTAAATTTTCCAAAGAAAAGACTATAGTAGTTTTACATTGGATGACATGAAACTGATGATTAATACGAAACTAGTGCCAAATTCAACTATGTAACGGTAGCATTAAACTGTAAAAGTATTACATTATTATGTATATTATTTTGCCTCTTGGGCAGTACTAATGTAAACATGATAATGTTTATGCTCTAATTATTGTTGGGTTCAACCAATTTTAACCATAGAAAGTTTATAGGTTTAATATAAATGGTTTATATTATCTGTCCGTCAGTGATTCTATTGTCGTCTTTGGCGACCGGTTTCGTGATTAAAATCCCATCATCAGGCAGGTAAAAATGCCATTTCACTCAAACTTGGGTCGTCGGTAAACACAAAAACTAGCACATAAAACATTAAACACGAAAACACGGATGGACATTGTACAAAATATATTTGTAACTGGCCAGTACAGTAATAGGATCACTGACGGACAGGTAATATAAACCATTGATTTCAATAAGTGATCCTGGGCCACTTAGCATAACGATATTTTTTATTTTTTAAGTATCTTTAAGGACTCAGTTGCCACTTGCGATAGAACAATATACAACAAATAATTATGCTGTTTAAAGGCAGGACGGTGTTAAATAGTGACAAGGCTACGGTTTAGACTAAACAAACTCCATTATATATAGTATAGTTATGTACACAACAATATAAATGCAGTTAGATTTTTATAACACGAACCATAAACATGCATGTAGAGTTTGAGTGTCAATAAATCACGTTAGGAATAAGACTGACCTATAGATATCCCAGGAATGTAGTCAATGTTCCGGAGAGTGTGTATGATGAAGGCAGCAGTAGCCAGTTGATGTTGACCCTCAGTCTCTGGACTGCTGCAGTTCACTCCTGAGTGAGCCGAGAACAAACCTACAACAGATGCATAACAACATTGGTTAAACTGTGTTATTGAAAAATACATGGTGGTCATATATTATTGGACGGATTGTAAAATTAAATAAATAAATCACAAAGCAACTTAGATGCATGGGAATTGTGTTGTGGCATAGTCAGCAGGCCAACAATGGACCTTTCTCCACCCATTATGACCAGTTTAGTGTGTGACATTTGACGATTCAAACACTAAACTGACCCAAGTATCTAAATGAATAGTGCCCAAGAAAAAGTTAAGTGTGTTCTTTAGTTTCATGAAAGCAGGTCTGCAATACCAGTTCGAAGAAGCCTTCGTTTAGGTTTAGAGTATGGCCGTGATTCTCCGAGTATAATTTTATAGTAACAATACTATAAAATGGTGGTACACTTTAATGGGATCTGGGGGGGGGGGGGCAAGAGGGCACTTGCCACCCCCTCCCCCCAAATATTCTACTGGTACATTTTTATTCCTCCGTTTCCTATAACAAAGTTAGTGTATCCAATAAATAATTTTAGTCTAGCTCTCCTGGAAACATGTACAAGTTGACATCATGGTGTCTAAAAGAATATTTTACAATCAATGTTGCATGTGCAATGAATCTGATAAATATTTAGTATGTTGTAGTCCTTTAAATTGTGAACAAAATGGTAGAACTCCCATAAAATGTGAACAAAATGGTAGAACTCCCAGTCCTGTATAAATAAAGGTTCAAAAGTTATTGTAACTTATGTTATTTTCCCATAAAAAATAAGAAAAATAAGATTTCGAAAAAAAAGTCGGTTTTGATTGAAACTAGTATGTGATGATCCTTATAATTCGTATTAATATAGTTCTACCCAAGGCGCATAAAAGAAGGTGTGTGTATATTGACGTCACGTGCGAGCTGAACATGTTTTATTTTACCAAATCATATGTTTTCTTGTAATTTCCCAAAGACTTTCGAATTACAATAATTACGAATTAGCATTGAATATATAACACTATTTAGCGTTTTATATCCAATATAGTGTTGTATTCAGTTTTGAATATAGTCATAGTGCTATACAGTATATTCAATGGCGGTAGTATATCATTTTGATAGCGAGTACCTATTAATCGACGAACAGTAAAGCAGTAAATACTGTAACTGTGGCTGCCTAACAGGCAATATATTTTTAGGTGACCATATACAAATAATTTTAATTGTAATACCTTTTTTGCAGCTCCTAATTATGTTTTATATAATTTAGGTAGCCTTAGTGGAAAATAACTAGTTAGAAATAAATTTACAGATTGCACTTACAACACGAAATGTATTTAACAAAATCAGCGCAAAACAACATTGCCTAATTATACTGTAACTTAAGTTGTAGAGATTTTATTACACTTAAATGAAATACCCAAGCACTAAACTAATAAACCCGTAGGGGAACCCCTCGAACTATGGGTTTTCTTAATAACTTCAAAAATTTACTAGACGCTTACCAAATGGCCTCTCTCGTTTTGCGAAGTGGAAAATCGCGACCGCAGCAAACCATCACCAATACAGGACGTCACCGCAATCACAAGAAATCATCGCGGCTTAGTAGTTTAGTGCTTTTGGGTATTTCATTAAAGCGTAATAAAATCTCTACAACTTAAGTTATAATTAGGCAATGTCGTTATTTCGTGTTGTAAGTACAATCTTGTCAATTTATTTCTAACTACTTATTTTCCACTAAGGCTACTTAAATTATATAAAACATAAGTAGGTAGGAGCTGCAAAAAAGGTATTATATTAAAACTATTTGTGTATGGTCACCTAAAAATATATTTCCTGTTAGGCAGTCACAGTTACAGTATTTACTGCTTTACTGTTTTTCGATTAATAGTTACTCGCTTTTAAAATTATATACTACCACCATTGAATATACTGTATAACACTATGACTATATTCAAAATTGAATACAACACTATATTGGATATAAAACGCTAAATAGTGTTATATATTCAATTCTAATTCGTAATGATTGTCATTCGAAAGTCTTTGGGAAATTACAAGAAAACATATGATTTGGTAAAATAAAACCAACATGTTCAGCTCGCACGTGACGTCACTCACTATGAACACACCTTCTTTTATGCGCCTTGGATATACCCCCATTGCTGTAAAAATTACTGTTCAAAAGTTACTGTAACTTATATTACTTTCCTATAACAATCCATAAAATATAAGAAAATCGGATTTCCTAAAAAAAGTCGGTTTTGATTGAAATTAGGACGTGGTTGTCCTTATACTTCTTAATAACATAGTGTAACCCCCCATTGCTGGAAGAAAGTATGTGACAGATTGCTGATACCGTTTATTTCCCCTGAAACCAAAGTTTAATTTATTTACCCCGCCATATTATACGATGTAGCCATATGTAGCCTTCATCCTGATGGCTATTGAAACAGCTGATCTTAGTCAGTACAAAACTACAAAGATCATCTCACACCATTCTACACTCATCCTTCACTCATATTTTGGTGAAAATACGCACCTAGGTGGCGTCCCCATCTGAATTAATTGATAATTGATAATTGACTATGTATTTGCTAGTCTGTTCAATGGCCGCTAACGGCGACATTGATGCCTTTCTAGCGCTATAACTTCTTAACCGGTTGATTTTATGAAAACCTTTTACAGGGTGTTTTTTATTAATACAAGGACATTAACAAGGAACAAAAACGGTTCTCACAAAAAGTATGATATCTCTTAACGTTACAAAAATACACGCACCGTAAAAAACAGTAATAGTCCAAGCAAACTAAAAGAAAACGCTTTACTAATGGCAATTAATGGAGCCTTGTTATAAAATAATGTGTGAAAATACTCTGAATAGTGAATATAATGGATACATTGTGCTTTTTTTAGTATGAAACATGGAAATTACTAATAAACTAGTAAAATAATCACAAAACCTGAATAACTTGTTTTAATAGAGTAATTTTAGGAATCTAAAAACAGCAAAATGTAAGGTCTATCACAAATAGTTACTGGAATATAAGCGATTTCTCAAAGTACTGCATTTATTGTTAATACACATTGGATGGTGTCTAGGGGGAAAAGCAAGGGGGGTAGGGGTGGGGACTTTTGTCCATAGAATTGTCGACATGACAGCAGTCAATGGGAAAAATCCAGCCTGATATTATTTTTTGTCTATCAGCGTATTTTATAATTAATTTTAAAAACAGATTATACTAGCGGAATACCCGTGCTTCATAATAATTAAGACTTTTTAGTTAGTTATAGAATGTGAAAATAAATTATTTTATTGTGAAACTTTTCACAAATCTGTGTATTTTAAAACGTTTTTATTAGCTCGCTTTCTTGTCCGGTACAAATTTTGCAATCAATTTTATACTAACTTCCCGATGAGCTAGAGACTTGAAACTTGAAACATAGCTCACAAAAGGAAGACAATGCAATATTATATAATTTAATTTCCCTCGGGCTACGCCCCATGGGCGTGTTTTTGTTAGCTCGCTTGCCTACAAATTTTGATATCAATTTTAAACGAAGTTCCCGATGAGCTAGAGACTTGAAATTACAACATCCATGACTAAATTTGGACGATACCTTAGATTTCCTACATGCCCATGTCCTAGTCTGATACGAAATAATTTACAAATATGTGGAGAGTATAAATACTTATACAGTAGATTTAAAACGAAAAAACGTGGGGTGCATGCAATTAATTGATAATAATACATTAGTTCAATAGGTGAAGGTAATTGTAAATCATCAATTACATGCACCCCACGTCATTCGTTTTAAATCTTACAAGTATTTATACTCTCCACATATTTATTTTAGTGCGTTTAAAAACGTTTTGTTTAAAAAAATTTTTTTATTTATAAATTATTTTCTACTTTTAGGGAATTTCCCTATAGGGAAGTAGCTATTACCGTAGGTGGCACGGTAAGACCTAGACCCGGGACAAATTTACTTTTTCATTTTGATGTCCCCAGAGGCCAAAAACACCATTCGTTCAAATTTTTATATATGTATATATAATATATAGACTTATATACAGGGTGTTGAAAATGTCTGGAACCAACATTATATCTGGTGAGTGGATAAAGAGAAACAACTGATATTTTGTGTACGGATATACTATGGTTTTACCAATCTTTTGGTGCCTTATGAAATTTTTTACCACTTATAGGGAACGTCCTGTGGAGGATGCAGTAAAAAGTTTTAATTGAAGCCTATGATAAATGATACATCATTTTAAAGGCCATTTTTTCTGAGTAAGGAGCCACAAGTTTCATCTCAAAAGGACCACCCTAGCAAAAATGGCGACTGTTTGAAATTTAAAAACCCACTTATAGGGAACGTCCTGTGGAGGATGCAGTAAAAAGTTTTAATGGAAGCTTATGGTAAATTATACATCATTTTAAAGGCCATTTCTTTCTGAGTAAGGAGCCACAAGTTTCATCTAAAAAGGACCACCCTAGCGAAAATGGCGACTGTTTGAAGTTTTTGAAAATAATTGAAAGCTTAATTGGTATTTCTGTTAAAAATAAGTTTAGTAAAACAACACAAACAATTTAGTTAAATGTTTTTTTTTCAGTTAGTGTTTATTAAACGTACAGCAAGACAATTATGTTGTATAACTGTATTATTTGTTTGTAAATGGATTACATTAGGTTGTAGAATGAGAATAACAGGTCAAAGTTCTGATAGCAGCCGCTTTCTCTTAACAAAAATGTTTGCTTGTTTTGGGAAGTTGGGTTTTCCAAGGTCGTTAGATAAACTTTTCATTCTGTTCCTGAGTGGAGTTCAGACCAGGTAATAGTGTGTTCTTCTGCTTTGTTGTTGTATACTGCAATGGAGTTAACAGAACGTGAACGTGTGACGCTATTAATGATGCGAGGCTATGGTGACCGTGTCAGGCCCTTTCGTGAAGTGCGAGACTTGTTTAGTGATTTATTTCCAGATAGAAATCCAATATCTCACGCAACAGTCATAAAAACTGTTCAACGGTTTGAA